GGCTGATTCATATAGACAGTTTCTTCGAGTTCACCACTGAGGAAAGCGTTGTTTATATCTACTTGTCTGATGATCCATTCCTTGGAGATGTCTAAAGTTAGTATGATTCTCAGAGTAGATGGTTTGATCATAAGGCTGAAGGTCTTATGGTAGTCGACTCCAGGGGCTTGATGGAAGCCAGCATTGCGTTTGATCCTAAAGACCCATTTGTTTCCTACTATGTTATAGGCAGGCAGTGCAGGTACAAGCTTCCAGGTTTTTGTCTTTGCCAAGGCATTTAATTCCTCTTCCATGGCTCGTTTCCAGTTTGCATTCATCATTGCTTCCTTTGCACACTTGGGTTCTGATAGATTTAGAATACTTTCAATTGGCTTTACCAGATAGATTTTTGGCTTGAATATCCCTGTTTTTCCTCTTGTGACCATTTGGTGTTGATTTTCAACTATTGGTCTTTCTTGAACCCGATTGCTTTGAAACTCATCATCTCCTGCTTCCTGAGTGTTTTGATCTCTTTCAGAATCCTGCAGCACTTTAGCTGCTGGTTCAATAGATTCAGACTTATCACAGCCTTCAACTCCAATTTTGTCTGCCTTATTGTGACTATTAGGAAGATCATCTACTTGTTGATTGTTACCTGAGTCAGATGGAAAGTGATGTGGACCAGGGGCTACTTCAGGCTGAGCTGTATCAATTAGATCTCCAGTGAATTTTTTTGGATCAGATGGCAAGTAAGAGTAAGGAACAATTATTTCAGATACTTCAGACTGTGATTGATTTTTGAATAAGGACTCAAAAGGGAATTCAAGTTCATTGAAAACAACGTGTCTAGAAATATACATTCTGCCTGAAGAGTTTAGGAATTTGTAACCTTTGTGAGCATCACTGTAGCCTAGGAAGATACACTTTGTTGAATGAAAACCGAACTTGTGTTTCTCGTATGGCCTCAAGCAAGGATAGCAAGAACATCCAAAGGTTTTAAATGTATTGTAGTTTGGTTCTCTTTTGTAAAGGGTTTGAAATGGAGATTTCTGTTTGAGAATAGGAGTAGGTAGTCTATTTATGAGG